AATGGCGGAAGCTAATTCTTTTAACAATAAGGCCACTAATAAAGCTAAAACATAATTCATAAAAAATAATAATATAATAATCTTCAAAGCAAACAATTCAAAATACCTTACGTAATGCCCATTAATGAAAGAAAATCTTTGATCTCGCAACTTATAATGTTCAAGGTTAAGTGCAGCGGAATATCAAAAACTTCAATTTTAAATTCTAGGGTGCATAAGAAATTCATAGAAACAATAATCTTAAAGGAAAATCATGGGTTCCAAAACCATGCTTTGATACCACATGTAAGTAATTTCTTAAATATTGTAAACATAAACAATCAAATAAACGTAGATATTAGAACTTCATGATTTTCACAAACAAAATAATTAAACAATTATTGGGAGAAAACATACCTAATCCTGAAGCGATGATAATAAACCTTTGAGATAAAAACTGATTTCTCATTTCTTAACCCTTTTACATATAACGTTAAAATTGATGGGAAAAATACGTTAACTCTTATGGGTAGAGGGAGGACCAGTTTATATATAGAGAATAACAATTAGTCTGATACGTCCATGTCACAACCCGTTCACTTAGCGGGCTTAGGCCCGATCACAAAGCAGGCCCAGGCCAGACCACACAGCAGGCCCGTGACTCACTAGGAATATCTCCCCCCCCTTAAGGGATTTCTTTCGCCTTCCCCATGGCTCGAACCCATGCCCAAGGGGCTATGGCCAAAGGGGGAGCACCATGAGTACCATCAGGCCAGCTAGCCTGATGGTACTCATGGTGCTTCCCATTTGCCTATAGCCCCTTGGGCATGGGTTCGAGCCATGGGGAAGGCGAAAGAAATCCCTTAAGGGGGGGGAGATATTCCTAGTGAGTCACGGGCCTGCTGTGTGGTCTGGCCTGGGCCTGCTTTGTGATCGGGCCTAAGCCCGCTAAGTGAACGGGTTGTGACAGTCCATCAAGTATCGATCCAATGGCTAGGATATATTATTCAATAACCACATGTAGCAGTCAAATTTATTTACACATGTAATTGATAAAAAATTATTGCACATATAACCGACAAATTTAAAACAACTAGTAACTGCCAATATTTGAATTAAATTCAAATTAGTGGACAACTAATGAGTCACTTCCAACATTCATAGCCATCTAAAACATTGCAATCCTCTCTAATGTTTGAAAGAATAATGACTAAATAGAAATTGTCCAAATGAGAGGATGACATAATAAATTTACAAAAGAGGGTAAAAAAGAAAAAGAAATTAAGGTTAATTATTTTAAAATCATCGATATAATTAAGTACATAATTTTATTTGAAATTAATAACATTTTCGTCCCTGAGGTTTGGAGAGTATCTTTAGTCCAACAAAATCTAAAAAGGTCATTATAATCTTTGTTAGACTATTAATGTTAATTGTAGTTATGTCGTCTCCAATCACATGGTAGGTGAGTTCCCAGAGGTATTGTCTATTTTGGGTTAGACTGTTGGCAAGCTCGCACAGTTTTGTCCTGAAAAGGTGCCTCTAGGTGTTAATGGTGTCCTTATGCTACATAAGAGACCAAGGCCTTCGTCTCCTAGCGGATGTAGGAGTTTGACATCAACTTAACACCCTAAGTGAGGGGCTTGGGAGTTTTGGCGTGGTACAAACTGGCACGCTTAGCTCAATTAAACCCGAGCTCTCCTTCTAGTGCCAACTGTTATTATGCCATCTCCAGTCACATGGTAGGTGAGTTTTTAGAGGTATTGTCTATTTTGGGCCACAAGTTGGATTGCTGGTAGGTCCGCACAGTTTTGTCCTGAAAATGTGCTTCTGTGTGGTGACAGTGTCCTTATGCTACATAAGCGACCAAGGCCCTCGTCTCCTAGCCGATGTGAGAGTTTGACATCAACACTAATGTTTTGAAACTGAAATAAAAAATAAAAAATTAGTAATTCTGAGATTAATATAATAAAATTACAATGAAATAAAAATTGAAATGTATTGGGGAGGCATGTGGTTGGGGGGGCGGTTGGTTGCATTCTCCCTTTGGTGGATGCTTTGATCCGGATGTTCTTGTTGGTTTGGCTTTTGGGGGTGGATGGGTTGTATAGCATCGAAGGTTGCCACCCTTTGGTATGCAATGTATTGTGAAGAATTGGGGAGGTTTTTGTTTTTTCGATACTAATGAACCTAACCCAAGGCATGTCTTGTGGTAGGTGGGTTTTCTTTGTATTCTTTAATCTCCGTCCGATTCCCTTTTTTTTTTTTTTTTTGACAAGAGAAATGAAAAAAAGAGAAGATTCAAAGTTGTCTTGATAGTGTCATTCTTTTGCTCCTAACTCAGGGCTTGTCTTGAGGTAGGTTGGTCGGATTTTAGGCCTCTTGTACATTCTTTCTTTATTTTTATGAAAAGTTTACTTATCCAAAAAAATAAAAAGAAAATAAAACTAATAGAATTTTTAAATTTTTTTAAAAAATTCATAACTAAAATTAAAAATTAAAAATAAAAATCCCTACCTTCAAAAACCTAAAAAATTTATCATATCAAATTTTATTGTCCTTTATTGTTCATCTTTTTTTATTTTATTATTTTTTAAATTAAAATATTTCTTTTTTTAATTTCATTTTATTATTCTTAAAAGCGTAAAATGATAACCACACCTTTCCACTGTTTTATTTTTTCTAACTGCAATAGTTTGATAGGAATTATAATGACTTTTTCAGATATTATTGGGTCAAAGTCTCCAAACCTCAGGGATGAAAATGTCATTAACTCGTTTTATTTAGTGCAATAGATTTCATTTTCCTTTATAATTTATTCAAAAGTGTGAACTGTGAAGAAACTGTAACATTTTATAGTTCACTAATAACTAGAGGTGACAGACCCGTGCCGTGTTGGCCCCCAAATTTGAAGGCCCATGACACGATCCACTATATATCATGCCATGCCTTGGGCCGTGTCGTGGGCTGTGCCATAGGCCGGCTCACGTATTTTATAAAAATATTTAATTTTAATATTTATAAATTATAATAATTTTGATTTATTATTTATAATTATTATAAAAATGTTTTATATGTTATATTTAGTGACATTTTGTATTTATATTAATTAAAAAAATATATAATCACTATGAAATATAATAAAATAATGAGATATTGAAATATTAATTGAATTTCAACATTTTTTTTATTAATTATAAGTTATAATTATAAATTACAAATACAAACTCAGAAATTAGGATTAAGAATTATTATACACCTTTAGTTTCATTAATTTCTAAATTCTTATAATTTTATTTTTTATATTTTTTTAACTTTTTAATTTTAAGTTTTTTTTTTTTTTTTTTTTTGGTATCGTGTTGTGTCAGTCCATGTGCCTTTTTTAAGGCGCACATATGATCGTACCATGCTTTTTTCATGTCGTGGGCCGGCACGACCTACCGCCAACTCTACTAATAACTATGTATTATTGGCCAAAAGTTGAAGGACAATAATAATAATAATAAAATGAAACTGAAGGGGTGAAAATGACAGTAATAACCAGTATGTAGTTGTATGTTATTATGTAGGGTTGTTATTAAACGTTTTGGAAACGATGTAGGGATGGAAGATATTCCCCACGATGGCTTCGTTTGAACTTTGATCCCCAAAAAGTCAATCACATTTGTAGGAGAAGTCCTAATAACATAGTAATAGTCAAGGGCATAGAGGACATTTTGCAATACAACGGGTTTTCATTAACAAAATTCAACCGAATGTGGGCTAGTCAATCAATCGCGTTGTATTTCTAATCTGATCCAACCTCTTATGCAGCCACCCCACTTCCAGCTTCACTGATTCAAGATCTTCAACCTCAGATCATGGCCTTCACCTCAACTTGTGTCAAGTCTTGTAGCTTAGTTGCTTGCAACTTCTGGATTATGGCATGAAGAATCTCCAAAAGAGATGAACATTGCATAGAATGCAAAGGTTGTGTTGGCCACAATGTATCCATGCTTCGAAAAAATCAGCTTCAAGTATAGCCACAAGTTCTGCCTTAATCACATACTTAGAAATTAATGCTTGATTCTTAACCAAATCATTTGTCCATTCAGCTGTCTCACATAGTAATAGAAATTTGTCCTAGACCTTCAGTTTTCTGATTTAGAGTTATTGTCATTCCCTTGTTCTGCCGTGACTGAGGATCGTTCTTCTGATTCCTTTATAAATTGACAAGTAAAAGAATTTTGATAAATTTCTGGAAGAAATTTTGAAGTAGCTGCAACGAGAGATCTTAAAGTACCCGAGTTTCCATAAACTTGACCAAGTCCTCAAGAAAATTCTTGGAACTTTTGACTCTCATGAATTCACCAGCAACATCAGCAGGGGAAACTTTAACCTCTCCAATGAGCTTCTAAACATGGGGAAAGATTTCATCATTGAAAATCTCTTAGCAGTTCGCTGCAAGCTGCTTGAAGGCAGAGAAGGTGCAATAAGAGAGGTTAATGTGGACATCCATCCGACCTGGTCGCAGTAAGGCTGGGTTAATGTTGACATTGGTGCCTTCAAGATGAACCACCACTGGTACTTTTAGGTCCACCTTGTATGCACGATCAAACAAAAATAATGCTATTAGTATAATTCCAGAGACCATTTAAAATTCAATGTTTGGCCATCACCAACAAATTTTCCGTTCTTTCCTTTTTCATATTATTGGAGAAAATAGGTAATATTCTTCGATCCTTCCACTTATTCCAAGCAGTAAAAACAGAGTTTTGAATTATTACCTGCCCTTTAGAAGCATTCCCACTAGAAAATTGGAAGGAGTTCCCCCATGTAATTTGATTGTATACATGGTAGTTATCTCTAATACAGCACCATTCACCATGCAACCAATTTCACCATCTGTTGAGAACCTGGATCCTCAACGCTACTCAATCCACTGACTGTAATTCAGTATTCACGTAATAATGCTCAACTCCAAACAGCAATGAATATAATAAAAGATCAAAGAAGATTATACTGTATTGAAAGATTGAAATGGAAATTACAATATAAAAGGTGCAGAAAAACCAGTGCAGTAAATAAAAGATATCTAGCTCTTCGAGGGGCTAGTTCCTCCCAATTCATACTCCAAGTTTTTATATATGCTTTTACAATTGAAATCCCACAATATATATTTCCCCAACGTCACACCCAAAGCATGCTTCTTGCCACATGGATAACTAACTCCCCTTTTTGCGCATCAGCTGAATTGCCTTCACTCTCCTTTTGTACGTGTGAGAAACAGGGGTCGTATCACCATCTAAGCCTATGTACTAGTACTAGTGTACTACAGATCAACAACAATTGAGATAAAATAAAAAAGTTTATGCTGACTTCCAGTAACGTGCAGTCACACTTACAAAAGAGTTTACTCAATTTATTCACTTATTCAATAGCCTCATTTCTATCAGCGGCCGTGGGTGTTAAACCATCTACAACCTTTAGAGGCATCTTCATCAGTGATTCCTTTGAAACATCAATAGGCACCTGTCAGAAACAATGATGTGTCAGATACATACTAATATAGCAATTCGACAGTCATGCTAGATCACCAAAGATGAAGACGAGGATTACACCAAAGATGAAGATGAAATTTGGGTATATTTTGAGCTGAGCATCGTTACTCTTAACTTTAGATCACTTCAGAATTAATTACATTCAGAAGTCAATTCACTACTTTGGTGCTCAAAATAGATATTTTCACGGGTATTATGAAACATATTAATCCAACAAGAAAAAATACACACTCAACCATACAAGTATCTAAGGGCTTCAAGAATTCTGATATCATGAAAATAAATAAAAGAGACTTCCAGCAACACCAACAGACTAGCATACTGGTGAGTTGAACACTAAACTGTAATTTATTATACCACCTCTCATGGTTTTTGGGAATGGGGAGAACACTAGAGTGCACACAAATACGAATGCAAAATTCACCATCGGCCAATCACCTAAAAGATTTACTCTGATTAAGAAAATTGAAATTTGGATTGCAGTCAATAAAAAATCAAGATTTAATTTATCCCATAGGTTTTTAGTACGAACTACCTCCAAAATAACTTCACATATTTGACTTCTTCATTAAAGGATTAAAATAAATACAATCACCAGTATGACTATGGCACACACCTTTACATGGAAACTTTGAGGTCTAACAAGGCTCTCGTGATAAGCTGTACTCCACCGGAAATACAATTACTCAACAATCAACATCCTGTTGGTTGTTGGGTAGAGAATGAAGGAAGCAAGTTTAAGCATTCGCGATAATTTTTATCCTTTCCCAGTAAGTCTACAACTATTGAAGCTATGGATGCATCCGGCTTGATATTTCTCTCTTTCATTTTGTGAAGAAGTTCAACTACTTTAAAGGTCTCATTATTCCGCAAGAAACCATTCATAAGCGTATTAAATGTGATGAAATCTGGAGCACAACCGTTTTGATCCATATGAAATAACAAATTATTTGCCGTCTCTACATTCCCTTCTTTACAAAGTGCATGCATCATAATGTTATATGTCACAACATCTGGAACCAAGCTTTTATTTTGCAATCTGTGAAATAGTCCCCACGCAATTTTGAGTCTCCCTGTTTTGCACAACCCATCAATGAGACAATTGAAAGTTCTGATATCAGGTTGAATGTTTACATTTTTTAAAGTATGAAACAGTTCAACAGCCTCCAAAACACAACCATTTTTGCAAAACCCATCAATAAGAATATTATATTTAATTAAATTGGGGGGAACATTATTAAGTTTCATCTCACCAAATAGTTTCCGTGCATGTCCAACTTTACCAGTCATAAAAAGACCGGTCAACATGGTGCTATAAATAACAACTCCAGGCCGAACTCCATTTGAAGTCATTTCCTTATAAAGACACATAGCTTCATCAACTTTTCGGTTCTTGCAATACCAATTGATCAGAGTACCATAACTAACTACATTAGGTGTGCATCCCTTACTTAACATTGAAGCAAACAACTCCTTAGCATCGTTAATTTTGTTTGCCAAGCACAAACCATCCATCAAAATATTGTAGCCAAAAACGTCAGGCTTACACCCCTTACTTGCCAAAGAATCAAATAGCTTTCTTGCATCATCAGTTCTACCAGCCAAGCAATAACCGCTCAGAATTGTGTTATAAGTAATTGTGTCGGGATGAACACCTCTATTAATCATTACTTGGAGCAATCCATTGGCTTCGTTCATCTTTCCATTCTTACAGAGCTCATCTATTAGCACACTAAATGTCACTACACTAGGTTGTACACCTTCATCTAACATTTCTAGAAACAAAGTTTTAGCCTCCTCCCAATTAAATGAATGACACAAACCATAAATTAGAGAGTTGTAAGTAACCTCGTCTGGGTTAATGCTCCCAGTCTTCATTTCTGAAAACAGTTGTTTCGCCTTGTCTGCTAACCCATATTTGCAAAGACCATCAATAATACTCGAATAACAAACAATATCAGGCTTACAAATGAAACCAAATTCCCCATTCCCACTAACCATTTCTTCAAATAACTGAAGGGCAGCGTAGATATTGCCTGTTTGACAATACCCAGTAATCAAAGTCCCATATGTAAATGAAGTAGGCCTACAACCAAAACCAACCATTCTCCTAAACAATTCAGTTGCCTTCTTAATCTTACCCTCCATACAAAGACCTCGAATCAGAGAAGTAAAAGTCACATTATCTGGACTAAAACCCTTTCGAAAAATACTCCCAAAAATAATAAAACCATCAGAAACCCTACCTCTTTTGCATAAGCAATTAATAACAATGCTCAAAATAATCAAATCAGGCAACAACCCAGCTGATATGAATCTCGTGTACAGCACAAGAAGCTGATCAAAATGTTTTTTCTTAGCGAGTGCAGCAAAGAAAACACCGAATGATGACATAGGAGTGTCGTCCATATGCATCATGTAATCGAAGAAATAAAGAGCTTCATCAAGAGAGAAGTTACCTGATCTGCAGTTTACACGGAGGAAGTTTTCAAGTTGAGCATGGTGTTTAAAAGCAGAGGTGGGTTTGAATGATTTTGTGAGTTGATTTTTGGAAACTGAAGAATCAACGAATGAAGATAAAAATCTAACTTTTAAAGATGTTTTGGAAGAAATAAGTGAAGTTTTAAGAAACATTTTCGACAGAGTTTCAGAGGGTATTTGTGAATTGTCAAAGGGAGGAGTTGAAATTTCTTTGGTGGACGGCGCATAGTGATCTGTGAATATAAGTTTGTCATTCTTAGTTAAAAAATAAAATGATAAAAAAATAAAAATTCTCTTTTACTGTCAATATGTTAATTAAATATCAAAACTTTCCGTTAATATATTGTTAAATTTTATATTTTTATATTTTTATAACATAATAAATTAATAAATATTTACTATATTACTCTTTCACTGTTTATATCAAAAACTTAACAGTGCAATATAAAACCCCCCAGAATTTTTTAAAATATATTATAATTTTGGTAAGTTGTATTAATTAGTGCAATTTCCGGGCTTGAATTTAGAAATAACTCATAATATGAACTCTCTCAAAAAATAACCTTTCTAAAATTTTATATATATTTTGTTGATGCTGGATTATGACACCAACTAAACGAGCGTGTGAAATGCTGAGTTGGGTCAAAAGACACGCTGAATGATAAAAAGGAAATAAAAGAATGACAAGACAGGTTTTAAAGTGGTTCGGATGCTAAGGAAGTGAATCCTCCGTCCACTAATGTATATTAATGATAGCGACCTAGTCGCGGTCAGCGAACTGACTGTACAAGTGATTTTACAAATGAGAGAGAGAGGGAGTATATGCTTTCTTTGTGAGAGATTAGCTAATCCCCAAATTGAGAGAGAAATTCTCAATTTATAGTGGGGTGGAGCACGGTGATGATTGCTAAATCTCTGAGTTGGTGGGATTATCCGTACAAATCTCCCTTTATGTCCCATTGCCCGTTTTCCAGAATGATTTGCACGATTTGGTGCATGCAATTGGACATGTGGAACCTCTTCAGCTCATGGCTAGCCTGGCGCGCGCCCATCACACTGACAGATGCGGGCCACTTCCTTCGTCACGTGTCTTGGTGGTGGGTTCCCACATTTTGAATTTTGCATGCTGAGTTGGTCCATGTCAGCCTTGTTTTCCTAAGGCATAACAGAAGTCCTCTAGTTTTTAAGGTTTGAGGATTGGACCTTGAAAACTATAATTCATGTCGTGGCTGGACATCTTCAAGGTTCTGGTGATCCCGACCTGGTTAGAGAGAGATCGAGCTCGTGCTTTTGTGAAGAGCGACCTCGCGCGATTATTGCTTTTAAGAATGAGCGACATGGTCTTCCAGGATATACAACCTGATTGCACGGAACCTTTTGCTAAAGAGGTACTATTTCAGGACCGAATGACTATTAGGGGTCACGTCGCTTTGCGATTAGAAGGACATGATCGAAAGGTTGGGTCGCTTCGCGACTTGCCTGACGAAGAGTGTTCTGCTAATGACCTCTTCAGATGTTGTTTGTTGTACTTTTGATATGGGTGCATTTAATGAAACAGTCTACTCTGTCAGACGTGCCCCTACGCGCAGTAAATGCCAGCCAGGAGCATTAACTGCTTGTCAGAGTGAAACGACGCTCCTCACCAGAGCATGGAATGCGGACTGAGGCGCATTAATTGTGTGGCGTGCCGAAACGACATTTCGTATTTGAATATTGAATGCAGGTTGCAGTGCATTAAATGCGGAGTGGGAGTGCATCGTCGTTTGGGCTTTTCGGTGGGAAACAGACAGCGGTTAGGTTTTCTTGAATCGCGACGATTAGCCTCCCTCGCTTGATTCACGACACGTGGTTATGATCGGTGGTGAGGCGCCCTTTTAGGCCTGACGTCGTTTCGGTCCAGGGAAGACCATGCGTCACTCCTTTATAAAAACTCAAATTTTTCACAGGTATTGTCATTGTGTGTTTGTTACAGAGAGAGCAATAGTCTTTCGTAAGCTCAGATCCTTAGCCTTCCAAACCATCGTGTTCCTGACATTTTGAGCGGAAGAAGCCATTTTCGCACTCCAAGAAGTGAGGATAGTTTCTGTTTTATTTTCTATCCTGTAGTTGAACAACATTTCTCCTCTGATAGTCATCGGAGAGGAGACGCTTTCACTGGGTTCGAGCCGCGAACGGCGGCTTGAAACACTACTAGGGTTTCTAGGATTTAGGGAGTTTCTTTTCCCACATTGTGCGAAATAGCGCATGATGGCTTAGTGACATTCTGCTTGTCACTTTTGCAGACTGCAGTAGAATGGACCCAGCGACCAGACCCAAGGAAGGGGCCGTCTCGTCTACGTAGGAGGCTCCTGCGAGCCCCACTCAGGAGATCTACTCGGTGCTTAATGGGGATGAGCTCGAGCAAGTAGTAAACCAGTATAACATCGATGTGGAGGTTCTCCGCGACGAGACACACACTGCTCGGCATCCACCAAGTGGGATGGTCGCGATCTCTGAGGAGATATTCAAGGGTGGGGGGTTGATCCCTTTCCACCCCTTTGTTAGGTCGTTCTTGGATCACTTCGGGGTCGCGCTGATGCAACTTATGCCGAACGCGTATACGATTGCTATCGGCATGTATATAGCATGCCGCGAGAACGGGTTGGGCGAGCTAACTGTGTTAGAGCTCGTCTGCTCGTATATCCTGAAGAAAAGCAAAGACAAGGATTCATATTACTTGTCCAGGCGACCCACAATAGCGGTGGGGATACACAGTTATCTCAGTAATGCGGGGGCCTACGAAACGAAGTTCTTCTTCTTTCGTTATGACGACCACTGCCGCTATTTGAATCTGAGTAGGTCCTCCTCCCTCGAATTCATGGAGTTCGTTGTAGTTTTTTTTTTTTTTTTTTTTTTATCTAACGACCTGTTTGTTTTTTACAGTTAATAAGACAACCGATTTGGGGTTGCTCTCTGACTTGGACAGAATCGTTTCCTTCGGTTTTCTGCCCGAGGAGAGTCGTGACGCGAAGAAGCTTGTGACGACTGCAAATCTAAGGAAGTACGGTTTCTTCAACGTCGACACGAGCTTAGAGTCCCCAACTCGTAAGTAATGCTGACGATTTGTTTCGTTTAGATGAATTGTTTACTAACGATGTCCATGTGCAGCGACCATGCCTCTGAAGACGTCTGCGTTGTTGAGACCAAAGCAGTTTGTCTTCCCTCGGATGAAGACGACCAGGACTCAAGCCGTTCCCCATGATCCGTCGGCTAAAGGAGGTGCGGCGGGAGCTTCGGTCGAACCTGCAGGGGCTTCCCAGCCTTCGGTGGGTGCCCCAACTCAATCTACGAGTGCTTCTCGGCCATCGGCTGCTCATCTGAGGACGAAGACAACGGCTCAACAACCTAAAAAGAAGAGGAAGCAAATCCAGGTCGAGGAGTCTGAATCTGAGTCCGAGGGCGACTAGACTGGGAGGTCGCAACCACAGGTCGGGCAGAGGTCGAGTAAGGAACAGGTGGGCGATGCGACCTCTGCTGGTGGTACCAGCGAGGACACTCCAGTGCTGGACTCACTAGGGAGCCTGCCGGAGCATTTGCAGCCGGTCGTCTTCATTCTTTTGGAGTGTGGACTAGCCAAGGTGTTCGAGGAGTTCGTGAACTCCAACGAAGTGGACCTGATGTCCACGTCAATCCAACACTTAAGAAAGGTAAACGAGATCTCCTTAGCGAGCTTCGTTGTCGCTGTAATACCTTTGATGCTAACTTTTGTTCTTTTTGTTCGCAGGCCCTGCTTTCCATATAGCTATGCATGCAGAAGGGTCGGCTGGGAACTGCCGCGGGGGAGGTCGCGCTGAAGGAAGAGAACGTGAAGCTCAAGCAGGACCTTGAAGTCACTGCAACAGAAAGAGAGCGAGCTTCGGCGGAGGCGAATCGGCTCTAAGGCCAAAGGGACGCAGCTCTTTGTACCGTTCATTTCCAAAAATCTGAGGTCGAAAGGCATACTGAGGAATCAAGGGAGCTGTAGAAGACCATTGCTAGGCTCACCACTAAGGTCCGGGAGAAAGATCAGGAACTTAATACGACCTTTGAGCGGGCCTTATGAGGAGAGTAGGACAGGGAGATCTCTGAGAAGCAAAAGTATGCTCTTGAGGATGAGCTCCAAGTTAGTTAGGGTAAAATCACTTCCTTGACCGAACAGATGCAGACCCAGGAAGCGGAGGCTGAGGAAGAAGCTACGGAATGGGCAATCTAATCCATATATGCCATGCGACCGAAGAATCCGCGACTTGATATGTCCGACCTACCGGTGGACTGGAAAGAGGCGCTTCTTTCCATGGCGCAACTGAATGATTAGGATGCGGGGAAGGCTACTCGAGAGGCTGAACCCGGAGGGACTTTGGCAAACCCTTTAGAGCCTACAGCCGACCAGCCTTGATGTGAAGTTGGGCTTCCTGGATTAGATTAAGGATTTTCCTTTTTATTTGCTCATTGTACTCCACATTAAATGAAATACATATCTGCTTTTACAATTGAGTTCGCGTTATTACAATTTTCATAACTGATCATCGGAACAAGTCTGCTAACAATCATTACAAGTCTATTCGAGTAGAATTACATGATATGATTACTAAAAAGAGAAAGATACACTTATCATTTACAAATAGAAAAATTACAAAAATATTTACAAGGAAAATGAGTTCAGAATTACTGATAATATGGTCGAAGATGTTCAGCATTCCAAGCTCGGGGCACTTTAGAACCATTCAGCCGTTTGAGGTGATAAGTCCCCTGTCTTATCACTTTGGCAATGCGATACGGACCTTCCCAGTTCGGTTCTAGAACTCCCGCACTTGGTTCTTTAGTGCCGATAAGAACTTCCTTCAAAACAAGGTCGCCGACTTGGAAGTCTCTTCTTCTGACCTTAGAGTCGAAGAACCTCTTCATGCGCTGCTGATAGGCCGTTATTCTCAGCTGGGCCTTGCTGCGATG